GCACCGGCTGGTTTCGTCGGCCACCTGGACGAGATATACGCCGGGAGAAACAGCGAGGCCAGCAACACCTGCCCCCGTCACTTTGCCCCAGCCTGTTCCTTGCCTTGCTTCAAACGCGGCACACCGTAAGCGGGCGTAGATCGAGTTTATCCTCTGCATACTGTTGTCGATTCGAAATTGAAATTTCACCCTCGCTGGATCCTGGACACCCACACGTGTCCCTTTTGCTTTTTAGTCTCTCCCTCTCTCTCTTTTTTCTCCCCTTTCTTTCCTCTTTTCTTTTTTTTTTAACTTTGTCCACTCGATATTGGATACTGGATACTGGGAGGAGGGGGATATGCGGGTTCCTCCTTGCCGTGATATTGGATTATTCTCAAAGTCGTCCCCTCCTCCCTCCCCCACGCCGGTATTCTTTCCAATATGAAATTTTTAACCCCGAGAGTGCGCGTTTTCGATCATGCCCCACCAGCTAACTCGCCAACAACCTAGGCTGGCCAGCCTAGGCTGACCTAAACCGCAATGAAAACTCCCGAATCGATGACGAGGCCGCTCGATTCCCATCACGTATCATCGGCTGTGCAATCAGGGTCGAACAATCGGGCTTCGATCACGTGACCGTGACCGTTCCCTCGTGACTGTTCCCTCCTTACTTCCGGCCGCTATTACCTCTCCACCCTGAATAAACAGAGCAATTTTAAACCGATATCGATAAAAGACGAGGAAACAGGGAACGTACAATCGTGATCTATGAAATCCCTCTGACGCCAAGTTCACACCTTTCTACTCCTACAGTACAGGGTGAACTTCAAGATCTCGATGTTCCCTTACACGACCATCTTCTCGCACGCGGCTGGTTTCAAGCTGGTGTGGCTACTTCCAAGCGGGTCCGAGGTTACCAGGCTCGTCAGGTCCGTCGACGACGTTCACCAGGCCGCCGAGATCGTATACGAGAGGTAATAAATAGTTTAACAGACCGTGAATAATGGATCCGTGACCGTCCCGGTGTATGGTACTCGTACAGCCTAGGAAATTGCCCCTGCCCTGGAATATCGAGAAGGGGTGGATTTCTGGCCAAAGGTTTCCGCAGGATCAACCAATGCCGCATCACTCGCTCGGTTTCCGCAGTCTTTCGCCCTGCCCTTCCTCTCCTCTCTCTCCTCTCGTTTCCTTTCCTCTCTCATCCCTCCTCTCGATTCGAATCGAAAAATCGAGTGTCGATTCGAACACTTTCCTCTCCGGTTGTACGTACGGATAAAATAGGGGAGGGTAAAATGTTAAATGCGGTTGCAGCCACGGATTCGACGGGAGATCGTGCCTGTTGAAGAACATCTGTCTAGCGATGGAGTACGTGGGCCGGAGGGACGGAGTGATCGCGAAGATATTGAAATTGTTGGCCGGGTGAGAGATATTGATACGACGAGATACGACCATTTATTGTTAGGGGTTTATTAATGATCGTAATAAATTTTCAGATCGTACAACGATACCGCGGGCAATCCTGTTTACTGCGACGTCCACGTCAGACGTTGCCCCCTCGACTTGATCGGCGTCGACTATTTCACGGGCCAATGAATCGGCGAAACGCTGTCTGAACGCTGAGAATATCCGATATTCCGGATATTTTCCATCCACGAAATTACTAACTTCGATTAAATTAATAAAATTTCATTCTCTACAGAGGTTTGACAGGAATTGATCGATTAATTATTTATCCAAATATATAAATATATATTAACACCTCCTCCTGTTAATCAGGCGATTCTGGTTCCACGTGAATCTCCATCCGAACGGAGAGAATAAAAGTAAAAGTACAAGCGAACCGTGAAATTTTCTTATTTCTCTGGATGGACCGTCTGAGGGGAGGGCGAAAAGGGTGATGTCCACATTCCTCCGTGGACGAGAACGGTCGTATAATTGCATCCGTGTCGAGGGTGGAGACCGGTAGCGACGCGTTAACGAAAAGCATTAATTTAGAACTGTCCTGCGGTTTTCTTCCCCCTTCCGTGGGGAGGGGAAGGAGGCGGAGGAGAAGGTGTGCGTGCGCGCAACTCCCATATGCAATTAACAGCAGCTCGTTCCACCGCTATGACCCGCGAAATGAGGAAATAAGTGTCGCCCCGGTGAAAAAGGGCACTTCTCCTCCCTCTCCTCCACGTCGTCCAGTTTTTCGAGAGAGAGAGAGAGAGACAGCAGCAAGCATTCTGGAAGACAGTGTGAATTAATATAAACGCGCATTTAAAAGTACAATGAGCGAGCGAGCACCTTTCGTGTTTCTCTTTTTCCTCTCTATCTCTCTCTCTCTCTCTCCTCTTATACATCATATTTCAAGCAATCCTCGCCTGTCTTGGTTCCGATCGTCCTCGCCATCTCGAACGAAATACGTGGACGTTCGCCTGATTTAGTACGGGATGAATAATATTTAAACTTTCGTATTTTACGTATCAATAAACGAGGAGAGTAAATTTTTGGTTGCTAAAATAGTTGTTAAAAAAAATGGTAGAAATGATTACAATTTGATCGATTGTTAGATCGATAGCCGAAATTTTATCCGAAGAGGTAACCGGCCCCAGACGGTATATAATATCATACACATACATATATTATTTGCCGAACGAATTGTCGAACGAGTGGCCAAAGTCTGTTCATTAGACCCGTCTCACGTTCCCGTTACACGAGGCTCTGGGAACGTATTGCCCGTGGAACGAGGACGGTCAGTGCGGGGACAGCGTTCCAACCGAATCGCGTTGTCCAATTCGCGGACACGATTCTTCTTCGTCTCGTTTTGCTAGGGGAAAGAGGAGTTGGAGCGTTCTTTTTTTCTTTTTTTTCTCCTTTGGACGGGCGGCCCATCGTGCAACGGAACGCATGAGAGTCGCATCGCGGCGGCGCTCGAGGGATGCAAGGCATTCGAGATCTTTTCCTCGTCTTTGCGTACCTCCAGTTCCTCGCCATCTGCGTATCTGAAAACGCGATCGACGCTTCAACCACGCTGTCCAGGCGCAAGAGGTACTTGATTTTTCCGGAAGGGAGTAACATGCAGGTATGATTTTATATTTCGTGTTTCGCTTTTTGTTAGAGAGAAAGAAAAAAAATACGTATAGTTTTGTATAGTAAGTAATATTATTCGTTATTATTAGAATTTCATAATTTGGTTTAATCTCGAAGATTTTTTTTTCTCACAAATTCGTGTTCTTTTCCAGTTAGTGTATTGCCTGACGGTGGGAACCTACGCGAAGGAGAACGATGTAATAATGGGGATAACGGCAGCCCTGGCCTGGGAGTTGCCGAGCAAAGTCGACTCGAAGATATCGAAGTTGCTCGATCGAAAGAGCAGAAGCGTCATGTACCCGAAAATAGAGGCTCTGCTGGAATCGTGAGTAAATTCCTCGCAAATCTCTTCTATATTTAACGATTTTCTTCTTCGTTCTACATTAATCTTCGTTCTTTTCTCCATCGGGTCGAGAATTATTATTATCGATGAGTTTATTAATCTCTTGATCGTCTCGAATTCTTCGAGATTGGCGGAAAGAAATAGAGGAAATGGTGAAGGTGTT